CAAGTCTCTGCACCCAACCTTTCACGCGACTCACTCGAACCCTCCACCTCCTTCCGGTGGCGACCCCATCGGCCCACGACTAAGCTTCAGTCAAGAAAACACGTCAACGTCAACCCAAAGTGTGCCGTCACATCCTGTCTCAACCCGTCATAGCCGCCGTCCCCAGATTTCCCAAACCTTCTCATGAGCCCCCTATTCCCGCTCTACCAGGAGCTGATTACAACGCAAGTGACCTCATGGGGGACGTAACATACTACCAAAGGCGTTGAAAGCAGCCCAAGTACAATTGAATTTCACTCATATCCATCCCAAGATTAGGACAGCAGCCCAACCATTCGAACCTCTTGGGATATCACACCACCATCACACATACATACACAACAAATTATACACTACTACCGATAACAAGTCGGACTTTCCACTAGGTAGGTAGCCAGTCGTCCAGTCCCACAACAAAGCCACGCAACCACTCACCAGCAGTCCAAAGGGGGGGGGGGGGAACTCAAAACATCAACGGTTTGAAATGCAACCACAACCGTCCACACCAAGCCCTGCACGTACCACACCTACCACAACACAGGAAAAGGTAAGCTGCCGTCCCTCCGTCCCTCCCTACCCTTTACGCGTCTCCACTCGATCCTCAGAGAGGGCGACCCAAGTTCTCACTTGATCACATAGACCACGATCAGGCTCATGCATCAACGCAAATATCACTCAACGGCACCAGCCCAGCGAAGACTCCAGGAGTCTAGACTCTCGCTCAACAACAACAAGACGGCGTACGGCTTAGCCGGCACCGTGAACGCTGAGGCGAGTCGTGGACCGGACGCGCTCCGGTGGGAAGCTTCGCAGGAATGGAATCCCTCCGTCCCAGCTCTTCCCTGGTACTTAATGCCATCTGTATCCTCGTCCCATTGCGAGCATGCCCCCTGCTACGTTGTCACCGCTCAGTAATCGCACCTTTTTCTTGCCAACGGCGTTCACGTCATCTTATGACAGCGGTTCGCACCAGTCAGTGGCAGTGGCTGTGCAAGATCGAATGATATCGTTATCACTTATCCTATCTACCATTCCTAGGCCACATGAACACTTTTTTCCTTACAGATCATGATAAAAAGTTTGAACCCGGAAAATAGAACAAGTTGCCATAGCTGAAAAAATGTGATATATGGACTTTGTATATACGTGAGAGAACATTGACCGCCTGCCAACCCCGCCCATCATAAGAAATAATAAGGTGAGGGCGCGGATGGCGGCAAAAAGTAATGAGATGATGCACATCGCTGAGGGGGTTTCTTAATGCATTCCAGACAACGCCTTTCCGCTCGCCGTTATTCGGCCAGCTCTCCTCTCGGAGCGCTGCTTCCCGCGGTGCCACTGCTGAGAAGCTTCTGGTAGCTGTAGATGTCGTCGTCTCCTGGTGTGAGACTCTCCTCCACGTACAGAACTCGAGGCTTTCGCCAAGGCTCCTCGTTTTTTGACTTTTACTTTTCATTATCTCAGCCATCTCAGAGCTTAGAAGTGCTCCTTCCAGAATCGGAAGTTGACTTCGCGGACGTCGGCATCCTTGCAAGCCTGCTTGATATCGCGAGCTACATGATTCGTTAGCAAGATTATTGAGAGAGATGAGAGTATGATACTTACCAGCTACTGAGGGACCGCAAAAGTAGACACCGACAGTCGTGCGCATACTGCCTTCCAAGCCGTTGAGGTATGTTCTGTCCAGAATACCATCACGCATGGTTGTGAAAAGCTTGGAGAAGTTGGGTCGACCAAAGTTCGTGCGGGACTTGAGCTCAGTCAGAGGGTCGTGGTCTGATCCAACCGAGTTGAGCACAATGTTCTGGGTGGTATCCATGTCCAGCTTCTGAGTAAGATAGGTGTGAATCTTTAAGAACTCAACGCCAGAGCTGCCAGGAACGCGAGCTGCCTCATTGGACTGCTCTTCAAGTGAAGACAGTAGGGTCTGGAACCACTCGAAAGAGCCAGTGTCCTTGCAGACCCAGATGAACTCGACACGGCGAAGACGGGTTGGCGGGTTCGGGCTGTTGCGCAAATGCCAGATGTTCTTGAGAATGGAGGCCCAGGGAGTAACGCCAATACCAGTGCCGATGAGCACAGCGATTTCGTTTTCGAAAACGTCTTCGGCGGGAGCACCGTACGGGCCATCAATGCGGAGATCAGGCATCTGCTGGCCGTTCTGAAGAGCAACCTCGTACATGCCCATGGGATCAACGCCATCGTAAAGCTTTGCCTGAGCGGAACCAGCACCAACAGCGTCACCAAGAGCCCGAGTGAAGTCACCGACCTGGCGAACGTGGACCGAGACATAAGGATCGAACGGGCAAGAGGTAATAGTGAAGGGGTGCCATTGGTAGTTCGAAAGAGAAGGCACTTGGAGGAAGAGCCACTGGCCAGCCTTGTACTTGAACGAGGGCTTATTGAACTGCAGCTCAACGACGTCTGGAAATCATTTAGTATCACGAGTAGTATGAGTGGCACAGCAAAGACTAACCGTAAGGGTGGCGAACAACACGAGTGATCTTGGTGCGGCGGCGAGCGCGGACCTCACGGTAGGTACGCTCCATGAGGTAGAAAGCTCCAGTCCAAAGCTCCCATCTCCAACCGAGGTAACCGATGCAGTGGTCCCAGTAATCCTTTCCGGCAAATGGAGAGTACGGCAAGGCGGTATCGCGCACGAAGCAGCCAGTGGTGTGGGTGTACAGTCCCAAGAAAAAGGGGATGAAGAGGTGGTGAGTGTACCAGAACGTCTCGAATGACTGCTGGCGAATACGAGCGTGTGCAGTGGTGTACATCAGAAGCATGCACAGCAGCATGACATGGCCGGTAACACCACCTGCCTGGGCGTAGTGAATCTGGATAGCCGTGACGGGACGAATCTGAGTTCTCTCGACGTTGAAGAAGCTGCGCACATGTCAGTAAGTGGGTACTGTGCCGTATAAGTTTAAAACCTACTTGATGTAATGCGCAGAGGTGTGCAAGATGGTAAAACCAAGCATGGAATACGCCAATTGTCTGTGCAGCCAGAGGTTCTCGTCGAGAGGCAGGAAGCGAAGCTTAGGTCGAATCCATCGCATGACCGTTCGGCAGACCGGGAGTAGGATAAGCATTCCATCGACACTAAGGACCAAACCAGCACCTCTCGAAATCCAGACCGAGTACTGCAAAGTGTTCAGACCAGCCAGCCTCGCGTCCATTGCCTGCTTCCACCTAGAGAGGGGTTAGTGTCTAGTTGTCGACAGAGTACGTCGTGCGAATGGAGGCTTACCATCCATAGGCGAAAATGCCAAAGTGAAAGGTCCAGAAGAGGAAGTGGAAGGCCAACTTCTGAGCAGTAAACTGCTTCTTGACCAGAACCCCGAAGGTCAGGTCACCCGCCATTTTGCTTCGATTTCGATTGCCCTCCTATTCGTAGCTGTATTAGGGTGTCGACCTGCGACAGTACCGACGAGTTGGCGGTTGGGGTCGGGCCTTGGGTGTATCGGTAGCGGCTCGTGTGGGCGTCGGGCGATGGTGTAGCAAATAATCCCAGCAAATCCAATAACCACGTTCCTATCGATGCCAAAGTCTGTTGGTTCCAATCTCTTTACTTCTCAGTCCCCGTATTAAAAACGTCTCTTATAATACCTAAAGTGGTGCAGTCGACGAGCAAAAGAAGCGAAAATAAAAGACTCCAGCCAAGCAAAGTTGGAAAGGTTAAAAAGAATGATCTGAGCCAGCAGCGAAGGAAAGAAAGGAATCTCGTTGGTCGCAAGGGCTCGGGAATTGACTCTTGACTCTTCGACCTAAGCGAGACTCAACGAAGAAGAAGAAGAGAGAAATGAGGGTGAAGGAGAAGAGGTGGAAGAAGACGAGACGAAGCTTTCGGCGGGTGGGGGGAAAGTCATAAAGAGATGAGGCGAGTCGGGACGGCAGTCGAAGTTCGAGCGATGGCGTCTGTGGACTTGGCACCGCGTGAGGTTCGATTGACCGGGGTTGCACAGGGCGGGAATCGGTTCTTTGGCAAAGAGAAATGCCCGGGATGAACGGGGGAGCCTGGTGCTGTCGGATGGATAGACTTGGATCCGGCGACGAAAAGTGGTGGAGGGGGCTTGACGATGGTGCGGTTCGGTGCAGGATTGGATGGAGGGGTGGGTGATGATGTCGGGACTAATCTTTCGGATGTCAGGTGTCCATGAAACCTCGTCAATAGCCGTTGAACAGGGTACCAGTGTTAGTGTTCGTCCCGCGCAGCGATGTGAATTATGAAAAAAGGGCGATTTGGTGGCGGGGGGGCGAACTGTCGACTGTCGAGGACGGGACAAGGGGTTTGACGATGGTGGACTGGACGATTCGGTAGATCAGACGTTGGAGGGGTTTCGCAGTTGGAGGGAGCTGTATCAGTCCGATCCGAGAGGCGAGACTGATCAGACGGCAGGGCCAGGTGCGACAGGTGGTGGGCGGAGTTGAGACGACTTCTGTTAGAGGCGCTTTGACGAGGGGGCCCCGAGGCTATTCTGACGTTTCGGTTGCAACAGGGGAGGGGCCGTTTTCCCCTTCTCTTGCGCTTTTGTGTGCAGCGTTGCCTGTGTTGTTCCCCTTTGACAATGCGGCTCGAATGCAAAGTGTGGGTATGCGCTATTACGCTACGCTACACAGTGAATACGATGAACAAGGGTCGTTTCTCTTGATCGGTACGGGTTGGCGTCTGTTAAACAAGAGTTGGGTATGGCGGTTGCGCTTAGCTTTGTCTTGTTGGAAAGTTTGTTGGAACCAACGACATTCAGACCGAAAATGGCAATAGGTTACCAGACTGCTGGGAGGAGGATGGAATGTGGATGGATCATGGAGGGAATGGGAAAACAAAGGGAAGAAAGGAAAAACAACCAAACGAGGATGACGAGTCGAGGTCCTCATATCCGCCATCCAATCCCCCCATTCTCCATGCTGGATGGCCTGTCGTCTGGTTCTCCGCTGATGGGCCATTCGGATAGCATGGCATGGCATTGGCAAGGTACTTTAGCTACCTAGCCAGCTGTACGACTACGGAGCAGTATGCACGAATGATGATTTGCGGTCGGGAGGTCGTTGTCCAATTCCTCTCAGCGACGTTGTGTCGGGCACCACAGAAACTCAGATTGACGGTCAAATTGGCCACCACCTGCCTCCTTCTTGCCGCCCGCCTAGAGGAACGGATCTCAAAGTGGACAGATGGGAAGGTGACGGGAGACGCAACGGCGGCCGGTGGTTGGCTGATTTTAATTTTGGAACACGGACGCCAGACCCGTTTCGGCCGGGCCCATGTTGCTGGGCGCTTAACGGTTGCTGAGGGAAGTCGCCGACCACCAGGTGAGGCGAGCACCGCTCCTTCCTCCGTACACCACACCTCACGGGAGAGCTGCGGTGGCTGGATTTTGGTGACACAGGATTCGCTGGTTGCACAACGATGGGGCATTGAGGAACTATTCTTGAATACCATCACAAGGACAACCCGCAAAAAAGACACTATTAAAAACTCCAATGTGATGGCATCGTGCTACCGAGATGCGCTACAGCTGCATGCCGCTGCACTACCGATGCAATTATAGAGTGATCCGGCCACTGAAGGTGAGCTGTTTTCTATCTGGGGATCTTTGCCCAGCTGCCCAGCATGTGGCTAGCAGGGAATATTCGATATTGCATCCCCATCTCGCAAGGAAGATGATAGGAATGTTGCTTTGAATAGGCTCAACCATGATGTGAGGCCAAGCCAGATACATAGTTCTCATTACCCTTTTGCTGCGAATTGCAACTTTGCAACGCAACGACGGGAAGCCATTGGCTACGTGAATAATTTAGAGCTACCCTCATGAGAAAGCATCACCCTCGAAGCTTCCCTGGAGTTGACCTATCACGCACCCACGGCACAAGGGCACCTTCGAAAGTTGAGTTCAAAGGTCCAAACACTCTTCACCGTCTCTTCCATGCCAGATTGAAGGTTCCTTCCGTACGGTATCGACTGACTCTCTCGCCTAACTCTCTTTTCTCCCTTCAAAGATGATCCGGGGAACCCTTTCCGTTTTCCAACCTAAAAGATGCATCGTGTCTTCCCCCGGTTAAGCTCTTGCCCACTCTACCACTCTACGAGACAAGCACGGTAAGGTAAGGTAAGAGCGGTCACCGCACCGCAACAGAAGGCACAGAAAAAATAAAGGACGGAAGGACAGGTGGGAGGAACGGAGGGTGTCAGGGCCCAGGGGTCACCCCCACATTCCCACTAGTCTCTTTCGGGCTTGGCGGCATGGGACAAGAGTTACACATGCGTTGAGGGTGCGGCAGGTCCCCATCAGCATCGCTCCTGCGTTTTTGTACGCAGTACGTACTCCGTACACTACGCCTGTTGACCGAAGCAGCAGGGACAAGCCCCCTTCTCTATCCTCCTTTGGTCATCTTGGCCCGTGCATCACCCGCAAATCTCCAAACTTGTCATCCCAGCACATCGGCCCTTCATCCACACTTTATCCCCGTCATGAAACCTTCAGCACGCTCGCGGCTCGCTCTCTGCCAGCCCGCACTTCACTCTCTCCCTCACAACTTACGCCAGGAACCATAGAACGCCATGCTACCTCTAGCTTGATACACACGCCCGCCCAAACCCTACTCAACAGCGTCAACACCTGTCAGCCTACGTATCTTGATTCCATCCATGACCCAACCCACCTGTCGCCCGAGCAAGGTTCGCACCCAGGCAGCGTCGTTATCCTGCCATCCGCCCCCGTCTCACCCTTCCCCTGTCTATCCCTGAATCCTTCAGATGGATCATGGCTGCTTGATGGCTGTCGATTGCTCTAGCGGGAAGTCTAAGCCATGTGCAGCGCTCTAGTCCAATGGCACCGCGTTCTTGGCCCCGAGTCTCTCTGCTTCCATGTCCTCTCCTCTACGCAGCGTGTCAGACGCTCACACCTCCCAGCAAAGAAGCATTCCATGAGCCCATCCATGCGGTCTTGCACGTCAAAATCGTACGATTATGTTTACAGATCACCTGTCTTTGATTCATCCTACTCAAAATCCCTAATCAACCATATTTCGCTCCCCAGTTCAAGCTTAAAGAGTTCAAGCATCTCGCATTTATCTTCCCGCCATCAGCCCATCTAAATCTTGGCTCAACGTCCTCCTTCCAGCGAGGCTGACGGTTGAGTTCCTGCCTCGTTCTCGTTCTCTCTGGACCACCCACACACCTCGATGCTCCCGACCCCTGGCCCAACATTTGCCTTCCGGCACTCTCGGCATTCGGCACACAATCTCCAACTCTACTCCTTTTCTCACTCAATGCTGACAGACTCGGCATCTACTTTTCACACTTGGATTGACTCGCCCCCAGTTCGACTCGTTCCGCTTCGAGTATCATCGGCGGTCTGAACCCTCCAAGCCCGTCAGCGCTGTCTGGTATCGATGGGGCCTATTGCGAGACGGAAATGACGTGGGCTATCAGCCAGCCTCGCCCGAACCCCCTCGCTTTGCCTGGGTCTCACGATACCGGTAGCGTCGCCAAGCATATTCGAATTGTTTTGCTCCTCCTCTTTGCTGCAGTGGCTGTCGCTCGGAGTTTGACACTACAATGCCAGGTCCGAGTGAAACGAGCAAAGCTGGACATTGGCACGGGTCTCCGCCCTCAAAACGGCTTTCATGCCCGCATGAAGCACCAACCCTACCCACCTGCATGATCGTCACTGACACAGACATTCCAACAACGCCCAAGTCAGCCTCTTCAAGGATCTCGAGTCAATCTCCACATTTTACGCCAAGCTTTACGCCAAGTGGATTGTTTAAGCTTCCTTCGCCGAGCAGGGGTCAACTGACATCAATAAGACCAGCCAGTGAAGAGGTCGATCGCCTGTGTGTGATGCTCGCAACAGCCGGCAACGGGTATCGTACCTAGCAAACACTGCTTCAAACTCAGTTTGCGATCTAAAGTGCCAGCCTTGAAGCAGTTTGAGATCGACAAGAGGAGGGGTTCGCGAGGGGCTTTCAGGAGCCTTGATGGCTCTTGTCGTCGCGGATCCCCTCACTTTCTGATCTTTTTTCTATCATCTGAATCACCGACTCGTGTCGCACTACTAAGCTTGACAATTAGGTCGCTGTGTGGACCGTGTCAGAACGAACTACCCCCAGCTAACGAGGCATCAAGCACAGGTTTGGCAGAAAAACGCATGTGGCTTACCCTGTCACGGGGGGTCCAGATGTATCTGGGGATACGTCAAGCCTGAGATATGGTACACCGTCGAAGCAGGATATCTCTGATTCATCAGATGTGACACCTGCAGCCCGGGTCGCAAAGAGGACCCCACGATGCTCCGCTCTGACCTAGAGAGGCCGGCTCGGAACCTAGATTCATCTGTTGCAGCACTCATCTTGGTCTGATCTCATTTTCTCCAGTGCCCCGCGTCTGTCTGGATTGCCTTCGGACTACGTCCTCCCGCGAGAGTGCTGTTCCTGGATGAAGAGAGATGAAACCAGTGTCCAAGCAGACCCAAGTTTTCGCCTGCATACAGATGCGCAGGAAGCGGATGAATGTCGCAGGACCCTATCGTGTTACTCGTGATGCCGATGCGTACTTACGTTCAGAATGTGAGGGTGCGAGTATGTGAGTGCTGAATTGCACCTCAATCTTAATACCTGCCGATGTCCTTCCTCGGAACTGTGTCAGCGGCTCTGATCCGGATCCGAATTCCAGGATTATGCCATGCGGCATCTCCGCTCCACCCGAGCACTGTGCTGCTGGTTAGACTCTACTGCTAGATCTGAGGAATTGGGAGGCAACCTTATGTGGCCCAGCATAATATCAACGCACGGGTTATCGGAACAAGCTTAACAGCAGCACGCTCACTCGGCGCCAGCGGTCTGGTTTCTTTTCCAACATTGTCCGGTATGATGTGGCGTAAGCTAAGACAATTGCCCAAGAGTATGAGGAAATGAATGATTGTCTTATGAAACTCTCTTCGACAACGTGACGTAGTGACTCAAATGTAGAGGAGTTTCATGTGATTAAGGGGCATGTCTCTAGGCAGTATTGTGATCAAGGTGATTGTAGGAAGAGCGAAGACCTGCTGACTTACAATTCATGCCTCACTACAACTGTCGCCTTGCTAAAAATCATCGAAAGGTGTTGGATTACGAGGCAGAAAAGGGGCCCTATTAGATAGTTAGGTAGGGGTGGTAGGTAGGCAGTTTGGGCCCGTGCAGACGGACCCTTCCACCTACTTACACCCACTGAGGGATCGCGGGCTCTGCCCACGATCTTCCCCTCCTACACACTCAATACGCAATAGACCTATACTGACCTATTGACCTCGTCGCGACCGAAAGGTCTGACCTGCCTACGTGTATACCAACAAAAGGTCCAAAAGTGAGACAGCCAGGTGGACATATATCAAGCCTTATACCCACGACTGCCTAGTGTCTATCACAAAGGCAACACGCACACTGAATGTCCTTTCGATGAGTATTTTGGATTGCTAGACTTCCTCTGTTCTCATGATGGCGGACTTAACGGCCGCGTAGGGACCACATCCTAAGCGATGTGGTTACCAGGATTGTCATTAACTGTAGCCCGCACATTGCACCAATGGCTAAGCATGCCACCACTGTCCCATGGGAGTGGTTCAAATACCCGGAAATCATAGAACTCGATAGCACTGACATTGTTGCCCCCGTGATCCTCCGCCACTTTATCCCTTTTTCAAATTCGAAACGATGTACATGAAAAAGGAAAAAGATGTACATTTGAATTTGAAGTGGTAGAAAAGCAGCAGTGATCAGAACTTTTGCAATGTAATTCTCAAACCCTATGAATGCCGCATTTTCGAGCGTATAGATATTGATGAAGAATGAAGCAAGTATGGAGAATATCGGTGCTGCTATGACGAATAGTAAGGAATCGTTCCATATTTCCTTACGATCGAATTGGGCCTCGTTAAGTAGCTGGGTGATGATGAGTTGCGCTGTAAGGTACGACTGAGCGTTTTCGACCTGGTCAAGGTCATTCTGCCCATGCATGTGGAAAGTAAACGTTTGATTGAAGGGCGGCGGCACGGCATTTGTTTCAGCTTGTTCTAAGATTGTTCAGTTTTTATTACACCTTATGACAAGTTCAAGAATGCGCTTTAACATACGTTGGTCGGACTGAGATATCTCACCAGTTTGGTTGTATACACCATTGCTCTGCGAACCTCCATGGCGGATTCTATCGGAGGCCAGTGGGCCACTAGGACGACTTGTAGTTGATGATGCCAAAATTTCAACGGCTATCATTGTTATTTTAAGCGTCCCGAGAAGAACTTCGCAGGGATTCCTACATGAACCAGGGGTCGAGCCAGGAGTGTCTGGACGAGATACGCGGATGCCCGGTGGTGTTTGTCGACGGGAATTCCAGGGGCGGGCGGTCTTGTACGCCACCTCAAATAGTTGGGTTAAGGGACTAGACAAAAGAACGAGTGAAATCACTTGCCCAAAGGCCCAATCATTATCCTCAGGGTTCCCCATATCGCGCGTACTAGAAATGTTTAGGGTGCCCCAAATCGCAGATACAAAGATTGAGAAGACCTTGAGG